AAACTCTATTACTGCAACATTTTTACTAGTAATAATTGGCATGTTTTGTAACGTAAAACTCTGAAATGTATAACTTATGTCCACATTATGTTCTATTATCAAATCTATAACAAACGCTAACAAATGTGGAACTGAGAAAAACTGTGTCCACTTTATGTTCTATTATCAAATCTATAACAAACGCTAACAGATGTGGACCTGAATACAACAAAGAATCCCATATGTTAATTTGTGCTCCGTATAAGATTACCTCCATTACCGAGCCTTTGGTTATGTTGCTGGAAGTTGTTGTTGATGAAAAATCAACTAAACGTTCTTGTACCTTTGGTTGATAAGTATATAGTGTTATTCTCACAAATATAAACAATAACAAAATCTATATATAATCAATTGTAGATTTTTGCAAAATAACATAATAATGGAATTTTTCAGAAGTTGTTGTTTTTAAAATTACATCCCTTTGAATTTAACTAATATATGATATATATATATATATTGGAATGAGTAACAGAACTATGGGAAAGAAGGGAACATGAAACACAATATAATTATGACACATAAAATGATTTCTGAAACACTAGTTAATTTTTACTAAAACATTCAGGCCCCGTCTAAATTTAAACTTATCAACCTAAACAACGTAAAATAAATTGTGTAATACAAATCAAATATTAAATAACTATATTTTTCAAACTAATAAAATTCAACGGTTTTTTTAGGTGAGTTTCATAATTGTTTTTCACTGAATTCTTAAATTCGACATTTTATCAACATTTTGAAACTAAAGAACTGCCATTAAGAACGTAACCTAATGTTATCTGTTCTGTCATACGAAGAACAATTCTGATGAAACGTACAAATAGTGCATCTAGCGTGACTGTTTTTAAGTCTTTTTTTTTTCTCTCTCTACTAGTGAAAAGGCCAACTACAGGCATATCGAAAAACGAGTTTTGGACAGCATCATTGGACCCGGACGTTACGACAGCCGAATCCGGCCACACGGAATCAATAACACAGGTTAGGATATAAATTCTAAGTTCTTTCACAGTGATAGATGTAATCTTCTTTAGCCAGTGTTACGTGCCTTTTGTTAAGCGTGAAGTATCGAACTTATTATAAGATATTTTTAAAACAGTCCTCAGCATACTTTGATAGATTGTTTAGGCAGAGTATTCATGATGAGTAAACTAGAGTGGACGGTAAAAAAATATAAGTATAGAGGACGACGTTTCGAAAGTCTTCCGCCTTTCGTCTCCAAGTCCAAGACTAATGAAAATACTAATGTTGCACTAATGGAGTATATAACTTTATAGCAAGTGACATCAAAAATGCAGAAAAGAAAGGCTTAGTTGCTTTTGAAGAAACCCAAGTCGACGAAACCTAAACTAAAGCACGTAGATGTTTATCTTTTTTCTCAGTTCCACATTTGTTAGCGTTTGTTATAGATTTGATAATAGAACATAAAGTGGACACAGTTTTTCTCAGTTCCACATTTGTTATAGATTTGATAATAGAACATAAAGTGGACACAGTTTTTCTCAGTTCCACATTTGTTAGCGTTTGTTACATATTTGATAATAGAACATAAAGTT